GATACAAAAATAAATTAAGCAAATATATTAATCAAATGAAGATGATCAATAACCAAAGCCTAATTTAGCAGGTGCAGAAAATAGATAAAAAACTGCATAGATATTTAACTAGCAGTAAACTAAATTATGTTCTTAAAACATCTATGACTAGAGAACTAAGTGACATAGAAATTACAACAAAAAACTTAGCTCTTAGTAATTTACAAAAAGTTACAACTAACTATATAACCAAATACTTGAAGTCTTAAGATATACAATAGAAGTAAAAACAATACCAGAAAAAACTATTAAAGATTGGGTTAGTAAAATAAAAATAGTAAGTTAAAATTTAGTCTTAATTAATTATATGTTAAACTTAAACAAAAAGAAGATTAAAAAGAAAAAAAGTAAAATAAAGAAATTAAGAAAAATAATAAAAAGAAAAAAAATTATTTTAGTACAATATCTAAAAAAAAAACAAATAAAAAACATAATGATGATAGTAGATACAAAAGCAAACAAAGACTTAGAATGAATTAAAATACTAAACACAAAAAATTATCAAGTAATAATACAGCAAACTGAACTAATAAGTAAAAATAAAGAGTTATTAGTACTTAAAAATGATCTTACAGAAGTGATAAAAAAAACATAAGAAAAATTAGAAATTTTTACAAAAAATGCAATTTAAAATATTAAAGAAATAACTAAAAAGAAAGAAATAAAATACCAATCAGTAGTAGCTCTATTAGAGAACAGTTTTTAATTATATAAAAACAAAACATGTAATAAGAGTTTTTTTTTTAAAATAAAAATTGTATTTTTTAAAGTACTAAGAAAAACTAAAGAATATCAAATCAACTTTATGAAATAGGTACTTAGAGCAAACAATAATATTAAAATAATTAAAGAAGAATTTTAAAATAACAACATTAGAGTAGTAGTAGATTTCAACTATAAGTATAATAGAAGAACTTAAGCAAACTTATCAAAAAAAAAGAAGACTGTTATAATCTTATCTCAGAAGAGGTAAAGTTTTCAGAAAGAAAATTTAATTTCAGTTTTAAAGAAAGTAAAAAAGTAGCAAAACCAAAATTCAAAAAAGAATATCAGATGGCCTTAAGTTTGCAAAAAGATAAATTTAATATACATCTTAAAAAAAACAAAAACATCTAATTTTAGTAAAAAATAAAAATAAAAGATAGAAATTACAAAATATATAACAATTTGAGATTTGTTAGCAAATGTTAAACAAAAAAAAATAGAGTATATATGTAGAGGTTTTGAAAATAAATATATAATAAAATCAAAAGAATGTAATTTAAAGCATTTGCAGTAATTTAGGTTACAAACAGTAACTTTAAATACATTTCATGATCATTATTATTGAACAATAACAATTTAGTATAGATAACTCAAGGAGAAGAAAGTTATGAGCAAAGACATAAACAAAGTTTCTTTATAATAAAACTATTAGAGATTTACAAAGAAGCTTTAGAGACGTTGCTTCTATCTATAATTTAAAAACACTAAAGTGATGACCCTTGCATAATTGTGTAACATTTGTGCATATAATCATAACCAATCATGTTTTTTTTTATTTCCAGATCAGTCCGATTATTTATTTTTAAAATACATATTGTTTATTATTAAAATTACATGTTTATTATTTTTTAAAATACATGTTGTTTATTACTGTATTATTAAAATACATGTACATGTTGTTTATTACAGGTAAGACCATCCTGTTCATTCAGCAAATTAAAATCGCACATTTTATCATGTGAAAAAATAACACATGTTGATTAACCAATTTATTTATAAATTTTTAAGAACCAGAACTTATATTATTAGTTTAGCAAGCAAGCATGTATTTATTAATTTCTATCAAAATTATTAAGTTTTTCAGTGCTTATTTGTGTTTATCTACAAATCTTCAATAATATACAATAATAATCCATGTATTTATATGTTTATTCTACATCTAATTCTGAAGTTCTATCTTATATACTATATACTATCTTGTGCAACTATTATTTTAATAAAAAACCTTTGCAATTTTAATACATCTTAAATAGTATATATTCACTTTGCAATTGTTAGCTATTTATTTATATTTATAATAATTATAGAATAAATTTAATATATATATTTATATATCGAAGATTATTTAGTACAGCAAAAAAAAACCTTTAAATTATATTATTTAATATATTTTAATAATTAATAATAAAATATATATATTATTTACAGGTTTTTTTTGCAATCACTTTGCTTATTTTTAATATTTCATATCATATTACTGTAACTTACATTTTGTGAAATCCAAGCTCAGATTTTATACATTTAAAATTTCATTGGCTTCATGATTAGCGGATATATTCTTGATAAGACCTGGATACAATCATATAAATTTATTTGTTTAATATAATAAGTAACTGTGCAATGCAGTTGCACAAAACCAAGAATGAGAAAAATCTATATAGGCACCATTTCAGTTACAGGAAACAATATTCTTCATTTCAATCCATTCCTGATATAAGAAAATGACTTTTTATAAAAGAAGTCGATAGTACTTGCAATCTGAATATTGGTTTGAATTTCACTAACCGAGCCTAAAAACCTATTGATGAAGTAAATATCTGACTGCTATATAGTTGGTTAGCTAGTATTACTCGGTTTCAATAAATCTGACCCATTCTGGGGCCTTGCAAAAAACATTCAAATATATGTAGTGCATTTAGAATGATCAACAGATTCTTTCGATAAAGTCTTTGATGATCAGTGATTATAATTTTATCGTCTCGATAAAAAATTTGATGAAAAAAATGAAAATTACCAATTATTTAGCATTGAAGCCTTTAAATTTATATTGGGTCACTAATTTTTGTACCTAAAAAACTTATTTTTACTATCGTTTGTTATAGTATCTTCAATTTTACAGATATATACACTCTTTCATGCTTTTTTAAAAAAAGATTGAATGATGAATAAATCATACAGACTAATCAATTTAAAGATTTCATGTACAGAGGTATTTGCTCCTAGTACCTACCTTTTAAAATATTGTTGCTGAGAATTGTACACACATATCAACTTGCCTGTAAACCATATATTGTACAAACTCTGTTTCTGGTATATAATATAATTTAATATATTAATATATTACCATATTTTATGATCCAAACCACTCTTTGCCATAAAATAATTATGGTCATATAGATATTTAAATAATATATTAAATAATGTATATGTTATTTATCGTAATATGTAAAAATCCAACAGGAGGGTGGTTTGGACTGTAAAATATAGTACTAAACATATGTAGTACCCAGCTTTTTACACAATACTCACAGATATTATTCAATTTTACAAATAGAATTCTTGAATAAGACCTATTAGAACTTTAACATCAAAGCTAAAAATAGTTTATTTCAAAAAATAAGTTACTAATTTAATTAAAATAGAATTCTTAAAGCTTAAAAATCCTAAGTGCCTAAGGGCATCCATTTTAAAAAAAAACTTAATACTAAAATTTTTATGCTAATTTCAAACTAAGCAATGAAACAATAAGAACAATAAAATAATTACAAAATTTTATATGAATGTAAATATAAATTATTATATAAAAGTTAAATACATGAGCTTGAGTAGCTTATTTAAAACACACCTTTTTTTTATACTGAGTCCAATACTGTGACCCAATCATGTACAAAATACATGAAATGCACCAAGTTCTACATTTGTAATCAGAAACGATATTTCAGATAGATAAAAAAAAAGTGAAATATAAATACAAATTAATTAAACATCCTTAAAAATATTAAGAAAAGTAAATCAAATAATTTTATATAGCTTATATTCAATTATTCAATATTGAGTATAAGGTTACATTTGTAAGCAATAAAACTGAATAATATAAATAAAGGCTGAAATAGCTGCTTAGGAGCATTATGCTTAGTCTGCTTTGTTAAATAAAAGTCTCAATCTTATACACCATCTATAATATTACATTAACACTATACTTACTATAATAAATCAGATAAAAGTCATTGTTTATTCAAGTTCTTGATCATATGAATTACCTACTTATCTTGCCAACCTAAGTAACCAAAAGCCTTAATCACCCACTAGCCAATTCTAACACCTTCTTTCGAATGATTACCTATCATTAGATACAAATTGATATATGGATTAAGACTTCGCAAACAATTTTATAAACAACCAGCTTTTGAACAGATCAAGATATTCAATTTTCAGACTTCACAGTCTCTGACTAATAAATATTGTAAACCCCAAAAACATGACCCAATCATATGAAAAATGCATGAAATGCATGAAGTGCAATTAATTATATTGGAAATGATATTTTGGATACAGAAGGGTAGATAGTAGACAAGAAGAGAATGTAAACACAAATTAAATATCCTTAAAAATATTAAAGAAATGATTGTAAATAGCTTTAAGTAGTTTATTAAATATTAAGTATAAAGTTACATTTGTAAGTAATAAAATTGAATAATATAAATAAAGGCCAAAATGGCCCTAAGGAGTGTTACACTTCGTTTGCTTTATATTAAATAACAAGTCCTAACACTATACATCATTCATAAATCATTGTTTGTTCAAATTCTTAATTACATGACTTACTATATCTGACTTCGCTAATCTCAAGTAACCAAAAGCCTTAATCACCCATCAGCCAAATCTAATACCCTTATTCGAAAGGGTACCTATCATTAGTTATGCGAGATTTTAAATTGTGAAGCAACCAAGTCGCAGTTTTCTGAAAGCACACAATATGATCCTGTAAGCATTATATATGAAAATTTATACAAAGTTATTAAGTATATATATATATAATGTTTTTAGAATAATTTTGTTGGTTACTTAGAATCTTATAATATCCAAAAATTTGAACCTTATATAATATTCCAAATCTTAATTCTCTTATATACTGGGATGCCGAGTCTAAGTTACACAAAACTTTGCATGTGACATCACAAAATCAGCTTTAAAGTATGAGTAAACGAAGCTAAATTTTTACTGAATTCTGGTTTTCCATAGAATATAATATATTGAACTAAAAAATTCTTTTCGCATATTAAATATATATTATAGATACCAACAGATTAAATGAAGAAGTTTCTACTAAACGATGTCTTAAATTGAAAAGAGAAGCTGCAGCACATCGAAGAGTAAATCAAACAACCAAGCTAACAGAAAGATGTAAACAACAGTGTATAGAATCACGTGTTCATATATCAATGCTTACTCAGATAGCTGTCTCAAAAGCTCAGATATGTCCTTTTGATTTAAGTGCGTTGCAATGACATGCTCTTGGAAGAATGGATTATTCATGCACTAATTGTAGTGCATTGAAATGGATAAAGGAAAGGTGTGCAGGTACATCTAAATGTTCCCCTTTATTTAGCATGTGCTGTGTATAAGGAAAAGTTCTTCTTCTTTCCCTTCAAGAACTACCACAAATCTTGAAAAATTTTCTAACAAGTAATGATTCACAGTTATGTGAATTCAGATGAAAAATATATGCTTACAATTCAGTTCTAGCTTTTACTTCTATGGAAGCAAAAATTAATAAAAATATTACTGGAACAAGGAGCATTTATACTTTTTGTATACATGGAGAAATATATCATCAGATTGGATCACTTCTTTCTCAACCTGCTACTGCTTCACTTGAATTTGCACAGATCTATATTTTTGATACAGACCACGAAACACAAAATAGACATAGTCTTATATTCTTTTTAGATATAACTACTCTAACGTAACTTCAAAACATGCTCCATAAAACAAACCTATATGTTCAGGTTTTTCAGCAAGTAGGCAGAGTCTTACAACAAACTCCTTCTCAAAATTTATCAATGGTAATTAAAGACTCTAGGACAACTGATCCGCATCATTACAATATTCCAAATGCATCTGAAATTGTAGCTATTATAGTAGATAATGAAAGTGATGAGACTACTATACACAATCGTGATATTGTACTTCATTCATGTTCAGAGAATCTGATCCACATTTCTGAGCTGCACAGAGCATATGCTCCATTATACTATGTTCTTCTTTTTTCTAGAGGTAAAGATGGGTGGCATCTGAATATTCTTTTTCATAGTAAGATGCAAGAGTTTTTTTTATATAATGTAGATATTGAGGAGTTACAGGATTTAAATGAAATTAGTAATAGTAATAATCAAACACATGTTTATATGATGCAGTATTATGCTTATCAGCTTTAAGTAAAAACCGCAAATGGTATAGGCCTACATCTTGTTGTGTGACTTTTTTAGTAGTACATAGTAGACACCTATGCAAATGTAGAGCAAAGTTGTCTTAATTATTTAAAGCATAACCAGAAAAAAATTTGAGATGAACTTTATAGTGGTCTGCAAGATAATATGACCATACAAGATGAGGTATCTTAAAGTTTATCATTGAAAAATATTGGCAAGCAAATTATTCTTTCTTCAAGTTTCATGGAAGGGTCCTGTCAGATGCATCAATTATATCAAGATGCAATGGCCATTGTATATACACTAGGCAAACCTGACCTTTTTATTACTTTTACATGTAATCTGACATAGCCAGAGATTGCTAATAAGCTTCTTCATGGGCAAACCACATCTGACTGTCCTGATCTTACTGCCAGAGTTTTTAATATTAAACTATAAGCTCTACTGGATGACATTGTAAAAAATAGTATTTTTGGAATTGTTATTGCACATATATATGTTATTGAATTTCAAAAGCATGCTTTCCACACTCACATATTCTTATTATTCTTACTCCAAACAACAAACTAAAAACTATTGATGATTATGACAATATCATATCTGCTGAAATTCCTGACAAGAATATTCATCTATTAGTATTCAATAAACAATGATGCATGGTTCTTGTGATGTGGCATATCCAAAAGCCCCATGTATGAAAGATGAAAGATATTCAAAATGATACCCATGTAATTTTTGTACTACTACAAATGATAATAAAGATGAATATTCTGTATATAGGCGTTGAAGAGATAATCAGTTAGTAAAAGTTAGAGGTGTACAATTAGATAATAGATGGGTAGTGCCTCATAATCTATATCTTGCAACTAAGTACAATGCACATATAAATGTTGAAATATGCACTTCTATTACTGCAGTTAAATATCTTTTCAAATACATTTACAAAGATCATGATCATGTGACTATTGAAGTTGGAGGACCACAAGAGATTAGAACATCGCATGAATCAAATAATGAAATTCATTTATATTTAGATGCACATTATATTTCTGCATCCGAATCTGCTTAGAGATTATTTCACTATAAATTGCATGATGAAAAGCCTGATATTATAAAACTTTAGATTCATCTTTCTGGACAGCATATTGTAACTTTTCAGGATAATGAATGTTTAGGTAAAGTAATAGAATGTGGAGCCATCACCAAAACTACATTAACTGCATGGTTTGAAGCTAACCAAAAGTTTTCAGAGGCACATCAACTTACTTATGGTGATTTTCCTACCTATTGGATATTTGATAAACATATCAAAGAATAGAAACCAAGAAAAAAAGTAAACTCAATTGGGCGAATGATTTTGTGCACCCTAGAGCGAGTGAATGCTACTATCTTCGAATGCTGTTGAATATAGTACATAGTGCAACTTCCTTTGAAAATCTTTGGAACGTTAATGAAGTTGATTATGATACATTTAAAGATGCCTGTGAAGCCTTAGGCTTACTTCATAATGACAGAGAATGAGATAATTGTTAAAGTGAAGCTAAGCTCTTGCAGTCTGGAGCACAGTTACATCATCTATTTGCTACTATTCTTCTTTTTTAGCAGTCTATGAGACCTGAATTACTTTGGGAAAAGCATATTTTAGCTTTAAGTGATGATATTCTTGAAGCCCATAATAATACAGACCAGCACAATAGAGCACTAAAGCACTTGGAATCTATTCTACTTAAGCATAGAATGAGGCTTGAAAATTTTCCAAACATGCCAATTCCAATATTGTTGCTTGAGGAACTATTTCAACAAAACTATTTAATTATAGAGGAGCTTCAATATGATATTGAACTTTTCCAGCACAGAGTTAGTGAACTTCACCCACACTTAAACTCAGAACAGCTGACTATATATAATGCTGTAATTTTGGCAGTAGAGAACTTGAATCCCAAAATATTCTTCATAGATGGCCCAGATGATACAGGTAAAACATTTCTCTACAGTGTTTTACTAAATAAAGTCCAATCTTATAGGTATATTGCTTTTGTCATAGCTACATTCGGCATTGTAGTTCTTTTGCTAGAAGAGGGTTGTACAGCCCATTCTCTTTTTAAAATACTGATTGTTCTAAATGAGGATTCAACTTGTGGAATCTCACACGGAACAGAGCTTGCAATTTTTCTACAGCAAGCCTATCTTATTATATGAGATGAGGCTTCTATGATGCACAGGCACGCATTTTAGACTATTGATTAGACCTTAAGAGATTTAATAAAAGCACTTAATCCTGCTTTAAAATATTAATACTTTGGAGGCAAAGTTGTTGTACTTGAAGGAGATTTCCAGCAAATCTTGCCTGTAGTACCAAAGAGAGGACAGGAAAATATTGTAGATTTCTGTTTATGATAATTCTCATTGTAGCACCATATTACAGTCATGAAGCTGACAACAAATATGCATCTACATCAAGCTGAAGATGCTTCTAATCCGCAGAATTTCACAGATTGGCTTCTGAAATTGGGTAAAAATCATATCACACAAATAGCAGAAGGAAGCTGCATTATCCTTCCTGAAGATATCGTTCTTTCATCAAACAATATAGAAGGCTTGATCAGCTTTGTTTATTCTGATCTTCCAATCTATGCTGGTAATCCTTACTATTTGGTGGAATGTGCAATTATTGCTCCCAAAAATAATGATGTTAATACAATTAACACAACCATTATGAATCTATTTCCAGTCAAAGCAACTGAATATTTAAGTGCAGATTCTATTGGTGAAGCGACAGATGCTAATAGAAACATCTATGAAAACCTCTACCTGATTAAATTTTTAAATGGTTTAAAATTAAGTGACATGCCTCCACATAAGTTATCTTTAAAAGTGGGTGCTCCTATTATGCTTCTCTAAAATATAAGTCCCGCAGAAAGTCTTTGTAATGGAACATGTTTGGTCTGCTGTGCATTTACACCTTACATAATACATGCCAAAATAATTACTGGAAAGCATGCAGGAGCCTGTATATTTCTTCCCTATATCACCCTTACACCTTCCAATAGTGATTTACCTTTCATGCTTATGTGTTGGCAATTTCCTATACAACCTGCTTTTGCGATGATCATCAACAAGGCACAAGGCCAAACTTTAAATCGAGTGGGCATTTATCTGCAAACTCTTGTATTTTCTCATGGCCAGCTTTATGTTGCCTATTCAAGAATCACATTCAAGCAAAATCTTAAAATCTTAACTTTAGATAGGCATGAGGGAGCAGGTTGTACTAAGAATATAGTATATTCAGAGGTGTTGCAATAAACATGGTATTATAGCATTTTAATACCTGCTACATACTTACAACATATATACTGAATCAGTATATTGTTGAATCTCCCAAAACTGATCCTGTCAAAAATCGATAACCTATCCAATCTGATAAAACATCAATCTACCAAGTTTGTTTCTACTATCTAATATATTAAAATCTTACGTATCACATTTAGTTTACCTTGTATAAATAATTTAAATACCCTTCTGGCCAGAAATTAGTAAATGATTATGTAATGCGCAATTGGTTTAGGGTTAGGATCTTATAAGTAAGTTAGTATTTAGTTTAAAGGGCCATAGGTATAGTAAAATTTCTAGGGGAAAATATTTTGTTAGTACGCAGAAGGCACTTTTATAGGCAAAATTTTAGGCTATAAACATTTTTTTGTTGTTTTGATTTTTTTTACTTCTTTTATATTACACTTGGTCTCGAAATCTTATTGGCTGGCAAAATTTTTAGATTGGTATTTTAAATGCTGTTAATCAAAAGCGAGGATCTGCTAATAGGACAATTTTGCTATGTCACAAACCTGGCACACATTCAAGAATTGCTTCGATGCTATGGCATTACAGCAATATAGTAATACAGCAATATGGCAATATGGAATTACTCAGGTACTGTGGCATAATTAATTCTCCATTTGGTAAAATGCATAATCCTGTAATTCAATAATTCTACCACCAACTATACAACAAATATAACATGCATAGTCAAAACTAATGTAATATGATAATTATAATAAACGAAGCAAAATAGTTAGAAAATAAAAAGCCAAAATGAATATAATATAGTATCCAGACAAGTTGTCAGAATAAACATAGCATAGTACTCACAGAGATAATTAAATTCCAACAGTTTAATTAAGTTCTAAATATAGTTAATAGTTAGTAGTTAGATTCAAAGCAATTAGATTCTAGACATAGTGCAATAGTTAGCAATTAGATTTGAAATATATATTATAATAATTAGGTTCTAAATATAGTTTGTAGTTAGTAGTTAGATTCAAAATGTATATATAGTAATTAAATTCTAGACATGGTACAGTAGTTAGCAGTTAGATTTGAAATATATAATATATAGTCAGATATAATAATTAGGTTCTAGACATAGTGTAGTAGTTAGAAATGTATAGTATATATATAGTTAAATATAGTAATTAGGTTTAGACATAGTGCAGTTGTTGGTAGTTAGATTCAAAATTATAATATACTATATATAGTTAAATATAGTAGTCAGAAGTTAGATTTGAAATATGTGGTATATATATAGTTAAATATAGTAATTAGGTTTTTAGATATAGTATAATAGTTAGATTTGATATATATAATATATATAGTATATAATTAGAATTGAGATACAATATTTATAAAGTATTTTTTATATATTAATATACAGTATATATTTTTTATTTATATTAAAAAGATGAATATATAACTTTATAATATAAACTGTCAGTGAAGTGATGGGTTACATACTAATAGTTTAAAAAGTAAAAATGCAAAATCTGTATATATTCTAGCAAACAGAAATAGTAACTCTAGAAGATTCACAATAGTTGCATTTGCAAGCCAGAAAAAGTTAGAAGTAACACAATCAAAACCAATAAGGTATAACAATTATACAGTCTTTTAAAAAGACTATAAGGCAAAAAAAAAAGCAAAGAAGAAAATAAGAATAATTAATAAAGATTATGTTAATAAAAAAAAAGAAAATACTACTCAAAAAACAGAATACAGATATGAAAAAAAGAAAAAAGAAAGATAAAACAAAAGAAAAAGAACAAAAAAATTAAAAAAATAACAAGAAAATATTTATGAAAAATTTATTGTTTAGAATAATTAGCAAACTTAACAGATTAGAAGTATAGCAAGAAGGCAAAGATGTAATAGCAAGATAGAAACTAGCAAATTACTTCTAATAGTCATCAAAGTTGAACCAAAGTTAATAGATATAGAAATAAGCTTTTCTTTACAAAATCAAGTGACCAAAACAGAAATATTATAAGAAAACACTATATATTTAATAAAGAGTCTTAAAAAAGACAAAAAAGAGCTATTAAATATAAGTAATAGTAAAGAAAAAAAAAGATAAAAATAAGGTTTAGTAAGAGACTAAGAATACACAAAATAGAACATATATAGAAAAAATATATGAAAATAAAAAAATTAAACTAAAACTAACAATATATAATATTAATAACCTCAAATCAAATAGTTAAAAAATAGAATCATTATATAAATAAATAATAAATAATGAACTTGACATCATAAAACTAACAAAAACAAATATTTTAGCTAAAGAAAGGTTTTTTTAATAAAAAATTTAGAAAAATATAAAATTTTTAAACAAATACATGTTAAACAAGAAGAAAGGTTTAGATATAATAGGTTTGCTAATTAACAATTAGTAGAAAAAATATTTGAAACAGATAGACAGAATAAATAAGTATATAGTTTTAGCTAGTTTTATGTTTAAATAGCCAAAGATTATAGTTATAATAACTTACTTGCCATTAAATGACAAAAAAAAAAGAAGATTAATTTAAAAGACAATTATAAACAAGTATATTAAGAAAGTTAAAAACATAAATAGTAATTATAAGTGATTTTAACAATATAGTAGATATTAATTTAGATAGACTAACAAAATTAAGAAAAAAATAACCAAAACCAAACTTATTATTAAGATAACTCAAAAAACAAAAATTTAAAGATACTTTTAGATTAATCAATTCAGAGTTAAAAGAAGTTTTATAATCAGGTTAAGGTTCAGAGTCAAGAATAGATTATATTTGGGTTATAAAAAAATTTACAAATGGTCTTTATGAAGCAGAAATTTAGCAAATAGATATTTATATAAACAATAATCATAATGCAGTAATAACAAAAATAGAGTTGGATTATTTAACTACATTATATAATAAAGTAGAAATTAGAAGAAAAAGTTTTAAAAAAATAGTAATTATCTATTACAAAGTAGCTAAAGAAGACTAGAACAACTATAAGCAAAATTTTAATAAACAACTTAGAAAAAAATTTGTATTCAAGAACTTTAATAATTTTTTCAAATAAATAAAGACATCAGAAATGAAGAAAATATAAATAAATAATAGGATGTAATTAGTAATTGTATTATCACAATAGTATATAAAAGCCTTCTAAAAAAAAAATTTTAAATACAACATTTAACAAAAGAAAGAAAACTAAAAAAATGTAATTGGAAAAAACACTTACTCAGTTAGAAAAATGAATAAATATTAAAGAAAAAACAGTAAACTGGATTATCTAGAAGATTACATAGAAGACCTAAATAAAGAAATCATCTTTATTAATTAATAGCATAGAACATATATAGATCTGGCACTTAAAAATTAGTCTTTAAAACTTATTGATAATCTAAAAAGTTGGTAGAAAATATTTCATATAAGAAGTGCCAGTGAACTAAATAATTAAAAAAGAAAAAAAATCAAAGAAAACATAGAGAAAAGATGCTAAATAATTGATGAAAAGCAAGACAAAATGTTAATAAATCTATAAATAAGTTATTCAAAAAGATTAAAATTAACAAACTAATAGAAAAGATAAATAAATAAAGAAAACTATTATTAAGTTAACAGAAATGTTGAAAAAACAAAAGAATATTACCAAAATCAGTTTAGATTAAGACATTTTAATTAATAAATTTGTAAAAAATAATGGGCAAAAATATACAAATCAAAAAAATAATTAAAAAAAATAATATCAAGATTTAGAACAAAATATTATAAAAAAAAATAAAATGAAATGCTAATAGAACTTAAAAAAAAACAATTTTAAGAATTTTAGACATCATATATACTCTAATTCAAGTAGCAGAACCTAAGTTTTAAGAAATCTTTAGAAAATTCACAGAGATTTGTATCAAAACAAACAAAATTTAAACAAATAAAAGATATCACAGATATATCTAATTTCTAAAAAAACAAACTAATATTATAATTTAAATAATGTTGAACTGATAGCATTTCTAGAAACCTTTTGAAAGTATACAACAAAAATTTTGACCAAAAGATTAATGAAGGTTTTTTATAAAAAAAAATATACTCAAAAGGTTGAATTTTGTAGAACTGCCAAAAAACTCAACTGAGGAACCAGTGCATATTATAAATACAATAATAAAAGATGCTAAAGAAAACAATAATAAGTTGTGATTAGTTCTGCAAAATATAAAAAAGACTTTTGACTCAGTGTTACTAAACACTTTAAAAAAAATAATGAAAAGAATTAAGTTGTCAGAAAAAATAATTTTAATAATACTAAATTTATTTCAAGTCAGACAATCTAAAATAATTACACATTAGAGACACATAGAAGCATTTGTAATTAATGATAGAATTAAACAAAAGAAAGTGCTCTTGCTATTAATATAAAGAGTATTCTATGATCTATTGCTAAAAAGAGTCCTAAACCCTAGTTAAACCTTATGACCTTAATGACTTAAAAATTTGCTACATAATAAACTATGACCACCTTGATCATATAAGTTAAATATGATCTAAAAATGGCCAACACTAACTTTCTGTAGCAAATTATTATAGTAAAAAATCAAATCAGTATTAATGTTAAAAATATTAACAATTTAAATCTTTAATCTTTATTATAAATGTTTCGCGTTATTTCCCAATTTATATCAATTGTTAATTGACGCGTATTATTCTCAAATTCGAAAATGGCATAGGTCGTTTTGTGATCCGTATAATTTTTTTTTTTAAAAAAAATAAATAATATAGTGCAATTATTAAACTTGATATTTATTTTTGATACCTATGATTTGTAGCAATAAGAATGGACAGGTATTTTGAATAATATTATAGATTAGTCGATATTGGATATCATAAATAGTGGATTAAGTATTCTTGAATATTTTGTTTTTAATTATTGTTGGGGATTATTCTGAGCTGAAATTGGATTGTGGTGAAAATTCGAGGTTTCTTCTTAAAACTATACTACCTACTACAATCCACATATACTCTTTTATTAATAATACTAACCCTAACTATAAAAAAAAGGCTACAACAAAGACCCTAAAAAATTTTACAATTTTATAATAAAATACGGCAAATTTTCAGCATAATCCAATTTCAGCTTCAGCCATCACAATTATTATGAGCTAATATTAAGGATTTTGGCATGTAGCATTTTTCTTGGATTCGTTTGCAGCAAAGTTCAACTGATTTATTTTATAAAAGTATCATTGCAAATGATCAAGTTGAAAATCTTTATATAGTAAGAATGCTTAGTAATTACGCATAAGTTTAATTGTATTTTTGATATAATTTTTTAATTATTATTTATAAATTGAAAAATAACGCGCAACATTATAGTGCATTAAGTTGGCAAGTATACAAATTAGATTTATCTCAAGTGTTAACAAAACAATATAACGACAAATAAAACTATCGAAAGGTAAATTTTAATTATCTACAGCTGAGTGGTCCTTGGAGTTTGAAAAGTTGGTCGTCGACAGATTTTAATATATATTTCTTTTTTATAGTAAACTCTTAATATAACAAAGTTTTAATAAGTAAAAACCAAAATTAATACCATTTAATTTAATACATACTGTATAGTCAAATACAGTACGTGTATGAGTGAGTACGCAGCAAAAATCATGCTTAGAGTATATGTATTTTATATACTCTAAGCATGTTTTTCTGTGTACTCACTCATATAGTATTTGCGCAATATATGTAATATTAAAGAGTTTTTGTCTTAGCTAATAACTTTATTAAAAAGAGTGTAATATGTATACCAATATTGATTTATTTAATAATATTTTGGTTTTTATATTTAGTGATTAATAAGAATATATGTACAATATTGATAATTTTACTGTATTTACCTGCGTGCTATTTCGAGTACGCCCATGGGTGTTGAAATAAAAACGATTTTTCTAATCGTGAAGAATCTTCTTGATTATCGTATAACCATGTTATTGATGACTATACTAAAAAATTCTCATACACATCTGTATAGTGTCAGAGGTAAAGCCGACACCCCATAGAACCTGCGAAATGGACGTCATTGTGGCATACTTACCTAATTAGAGGTGCCCATGACGATCCATTTAAAACATGTGCGCCCGGCCCCAAAGTAGCCATATGAAAGTACACAAGCCTCCATGCAGGACCCCACCACCCCCTCCAATTAAAGTAAGGTCGACCTGGACCAACCTGTTGCACTGGGAATGGACGTTGACTCCACCTACCTTACTTGGGTTAGGTGTGAGGCGATGTCAAGGGGGTGCGATTGAAGACAATACGATGGGTTCTGGCCCCGGGATCGTGAAACTGAAACATTTCTCATCGAAACCGTGAGAAATGTTAAAGTAACGAAAGGCTGTGTGGAAGGGGTTAAAGGTTATAACAAATAAGGTTGGGAAGTGTTGGGAATAATAAGAGTCGTAGTCTTGTGCGAGCTCTTCTCGCGTTCAATTCATTATAAAAAGGATGGAATTTCACCCTTCCAAGAGCTAAGTTAAGCTCAGTTAAGTTCAGTAGAGTTAAGAACCACCCAGACCAGTATAATAATACAGTCCTATAATTGTATTACCCCTACAAAAAAAAATAATAAAGTTAATAAAGCCCTTTTTAACTTGTAAAATAAATCAACGCTCTTTTAATATCGCAAGACTTATCTTATAACGCTCCTCATCGATCGCCTCGACCTTGTGCCAAATCGAAAAACTGCCTCTTGTATCCTTGAGGAACGTTACGCGGCATAATCATTTTTCTAGCGACAATCCGTCGCATTTGCCCCATCTCTGAACTCGACCATAAAGCCTGTAACAATAGTTTATGTTATCATTGTGTTATCATCTTTGTTTCGGTCTTTGAAATAATCTACGTGAAAAATTCTTAATTGAAAAAAATATAATATATCCACTCGCGTAGTTTAATTTGATAACGTAATTACGAATGTGATATAAAAGTATAGTTACTATACTGTATAGGGTTAAAAATATGCACGCGGGTATCAAATGGCAACATGTGATTGGTCACTACGCGGCCAATCACCTGATACCGTTTGATACCCGCGTGCATATTTTTGAATCCATATATTAACAAAATATGAAAAGGTTCTGCAGTGTTAATGTGTGATTTTTTTTATTTTATTAGTCAATCTTCACGACTGACTAATACAATTTGTCACTCGATCCCCCATAAAACAATACTACGAAATACACAAATGGGATATCACCTATCTTCCCCAGCATCGCCATAAAAATTCTACTATCACGTGATGATCGAAAAATTCTTTAAAGTTCATTTAGGTTAGGGTTAGCATTTCTAATAAGGTTGAATACTAACGAGTTCTTATTCAAATTTTTGAGAAATGTGCAATTTTTAAACGTTTGTTTTGAATTTCCCGATCATGCTACGTTACACCAAATCATGGCTCATTATTGGTCAATTTGCCGTCTATAGTCACGTGATGGTAGAATTTTATGGCGATACTGGGGTAGTTGATATCACCTCGCTGCATCACGTGGTCATCAGCTGTTTTTTTAGAATCGTTCCTAACCCTCTCTTTGTAATAATTCTTATATTCCCGCCAACACTGTATGATATCCGGACTGTTCATCCGGGCTATCCACTGTTCTTGGAATTTAACATGTCCAGTTGTGCTACCATGTCCTCACCTATCTTTTCGGGTGATTTACGAATAGCTAGACTTGCGTCGAGCTTGCAGCAAAGAGAAAAAGTAACTCAAAAAAACCCTAGAACCGTCTCCTTTATATACCTTTCATTATGACCCCATACTTACCCAAATGTCATAACGTCATCTCATTCCTCTAACTATTCGTACACCCATAACTCTACACCTATTAATTACGTACACAGTGAACGGTATGGATCTCGTGACAAATGACTGCCACGTGACTTCGTTCACGGCATTACAAATTGTCCGCAAGTGATAACCGTGAAGTATTTATTACTGTATTATGAAAGTTAACAAAATATACTATATGAGTAGAATTATTATAAAGTGCGTTATTTCGGGACGCGCATGAGCGTCATTTCAAATCTATTACAAACCGATAAACTTTACCATCCCTTATATTCTTAGGTTCAATTTCTCAAACGAAGAAATAATACGTATTGTTACACCCAAAAAACTCAATTTTAAATGCTAACACGAATTAAGATATAAGTAACAATCACCTTTTTCTTTAACCATTCCGTTTAATAAAACTGCATCCCTTTTCTCATGCCAGGTCAACGCTATTCGGTAGTGATTTGAACCGAGAAACATATCCTCAATTGGTTAACCGAGCCGAATTATTTTATGTCAACCGATTACAACCGGTTTAGATTAACTTCTCGTTCCTATCTCGGAAATATTCGGAGTATCACTCAAATTTTTGTTTCAACTTGTTCGTCTCTTATGTTCATTCAGTTTTTTTTTCGGAATCTTTGCTCTCTCTTGGTCATTTACATACTTTATCGATCCTATCAACCGGCTACCCGATTCTCGACCGGTTGTACTGGGTCAACCGATTAAGAATTTGTTCCAAAATTTATTCAGTCGGGTCGGTTAACCGATTATAGCCCAACCGGCTTAAATCACTACTATTCGGTCAATACAGCATGTGCATAGTGCAAGTTTCAATACAATAAATATATCTAACCCTAATACCATAATTTTTTAACGTGTTTCTTAAATTTACTACATTTGTTATTCAACGTACGTATTCTATATATAAATTAAAAAAAAATGGGTTAATATTAAGCTAATACAGTTTATTCAATAAAATTATAACGATAAAGGTTTTTAAAATATAAGTTTTTTGGTTGTATTTTACTAAGGTTAAGAGAAATTACATATGATATATTTAATAACAATAATTCTTGTAAGAATTAAAATAATCAAAAACAATAGTTTTTTTAATGCCAAAGCTCACGATGTCCCTGCGTGATATAAAAATATGTTATAATAAATTTACCTTTATAAAGGAGAATATATATGTTGTTCCAATATTTACAGTAAAATAATTATTATGAACTATCAATTTTTTAATGAATTTCTGTGACCAAATCATTTTTAATGTTACTACCAGAACTGTTATTGTATCCATGAAAGCTATTTGCTGTTAAGGTAGTAATGTCAGATAAAGAATTAACCGAATGTCTCCCGTTAATCTGACTTTGATCATTTTTTATCAGATCCGAAGCAGCATGATTTGAAAAATTATAAGTTTTCTTGAATTTAAAAGAAAAGCCATCATGAAAATCACTATATTGTATTTTACTTGTTGGAATCGAATTATTGTATAGTGCGTTCACAGAATTATTTTCTTCAATATTGGTATTTTTCGCAACATGTGTACTAAACAAAATTTTTTTAACAAAATTTAATTAGTGAAAAAAAACAAATGGATGTTGACAAAAAAAAGAGCCTACTTGTATATTATAATCCATTGAGTTGTATGAATAAAGAAAGGAACAAAATAGTTCCAAATTATGAGATATGTGACATTCATAGCACGAATGAATATAGTGTGAGTTCTATGCAAAGAACCGTAAAATAAAAAGGCTAGCAGATAAATACACGCAAATACGATTGCAATAATGCACAACCTATTTCCAATTTGCTTAAACTGATCCAATTTGATTTCCAATTCATTTTTTTGATCATTTACCGTCTTTAAGTTCATCATATCATTTATGATAGCGATAAAACGAGACCAAAATCTAACCATGACTAACACATAAAATATTCCAAAAATAAACCATCCTAGGTAATGAATCGTAAAGAGCTTGTTTGCTGTATTCACGTTACCAATGTCAGCATAATACCCAGTCAGACTAGCAATTGGTAGAAATATCAAGATGGGTAATAAACCGAAAAATATACAAGTGATATCATTGCGCAAGGCATGACGAGGGGTTGGGACATCAGGTATTAATTTCAATTCAAAAGCACATGTTGAGTATGTTATGCTTAATGGATATAGGAAAGAAAATGATACACTTAAAGTCCTCGGTAATACCTGTCCAACTTTGAAAAGCAATATTTATATATATATGTTAAATATATGAAATATATGATAATAATAAACATAAATATTATTAAAATGTTTACTTTCGGCCATCAAAACGTTGGGATAAAGGTCATAAAGCAAAAATATTGAATGAAGTATTTGAACTACAATACATATAATAATCGGTCGATTAATATTTCCAGCTTCTAAAAACTCAAGTACTTAAGAATATGGAATGTCTACATACATGGACAATATACTAATGCTATCGCATAATATATATGTAGAGGCCTTGGTCTTATGATACCACGATCACTTCGTGGACTGAAAAAAAAGGATTCATTTTTGATGCATATCAAATGATAAAGGCATATAACTGAGGTTATGCTTAGCAATAGACTATAAGGAATTAAGACCTACAAAAAAGAAAAAGAGATTATTCAAAACAGGTAGCAAAAATTATAATGAAAAAACAATAAAAAAAATACCCAATATGAAATTTCAAGAATGCTTGATTCAGGACATCCATGGATGTTTATTCGAAAATCACATACACATGAGGAAACGTCCCATATAAAATGATTTGAGACACCTTTACATACAAGAGAATAATCGTTTATAAGCTGTACCATTATATGATATTTGCTATGAGAACTTGTGAACCACGAAGGGACTTGATTGTTATTTTGGCATGTTGTAAATGACATGAAAACTAGTATTCATCAATATAAACAATATCTACATGCATGATCTATTACTTAATTAGTATATAAAAGTAGCATACACTTATTTATCATTCATACGTGCATACTTTCAAAAAAAAATCATATTCATTCATTGTACGTACACACTGTACATATGTAAGTACGTACAAATACATACGTACTTACATGAGCATATGTGACGATATTGTGTTTCCCATATACGTATGTACGTACGTATGTGCCTTTAAATAGTTTTCTCGGCACAGAACGAAAAATCTTCGTTCCCTTCTCCTTGGACCATTATGTGAATGACTTAATATTCAGCAACGTGAATCCCTGCTTAAACACGCAGCCCAATTAAAAAATCATATACCGATCGGTTTTCTTGTTCCATTCGATCCTTTTTCAGGTTTTGGAAATAAAACTTGTGTTACATGAATATGCAGTGGTGATAGATTGAAAATGCAGAGTTGCGTTTTTTAATGGTTCAGAAATTATTAGCATAGCGTCCTTCGATACACTCGACAATTAGAAATTCAATTGATATGTAAAGATATATACGTAAATAAAAAGTGAGGTATTTTTTCTATAAATAAATCAAAAATCCCACCTTATTGTCTATAGATTGTTACATGCTACCGCGTTACAGAGAAATTGAGAGAAATTCATTATTGCTGTAAACCAAATAGAATTATTAATCGCCAGGTTCGACTATCAGTTGCACTAGCCGAATTATCTTTTTAATTAATAATTCAAAATACTAAAATCAAATAAGACTTATTAAATATTGATGAATTTAATGGTTCCGCACTATAAGAGTTTCTTCTGATATTACTTACAGTTGTATTTATACATTAGAGTACTTTTTAAAAATGTACCCTTTTGTAAAATAAAAATGAAAATTATGGAGATTTCTACCTTCGAAAAGATGTCAACGCCTTTTCTGTATAAAGTAACCAACATTGAAGTGCTTAGAAGTGAAATTTCTACCGTATATCGATATTATAACTATTAATCTGTGATCATTATAATATCATTAATTTTAAGCGTTTATAAATACAATTTTATTGGTTGAATGTTTTATAGACCAATCAATTCCGAACATTGAAAATCTGTTCGTTACTGGAATTTTTTCGGCTTCGTCCTGTAACTTATCTAAATCCCGATAATCACATCGCAGCTTGTTTTCGTAACGTTACAATGCCGGACAAAAGTATTTCCTTTCTTGTAACTTTTTAAAATAAAATATTACAATTTTGAAATTTTTACTATAAATAGTATTAAACAAATATAGGTTAATAAAAAATTGGTACATTTTTTTAATTATTGTTACAAAAGTTAGGTAAAAGCTAAAATTTGTTAAAATTTTAGATATTTTTTGGGAATTGATATTTATACTCTCATTTTTGATATTTGTACCTTCTATTAAACAAAAAGTGCCCAGAACAATATTGTTATTAAGTAAACCTCTTTAGTAGTCTTAAGTAAAGTTGGTTCTTATACTTTTCTGGCTCTAATGGTAGCAAACTTATTAAAATTGGGTTAATGGTTCTTATTTAAAGTTAATTAATATTTGTCAACTTTAATATTAATAACTCAAGAATTTCTAAAATTAATTTTGATGGTTTTACTATATTAAAATTAGAAAGATTCGAGAAAAAACTTTGCTTAAGACTACTAAAAGGTTTACTTAATAAAAAAATTTTTTTTTATGTTTAATAAGAGGTATAAATATTAATATACATTTTTTTTTATAAAAATTAATTAAATTTAATTAAAAAATAATTCTAACTTAACAATAATACAAATAAAATTAACAACTTTTCTGATGATTATTTAAACCAAATGTATATCAACTACAGTTTAAAGAGTTAAGGTCTCAAGTAGATATTATTTTTGATTTGATACAAAGTATATTATTGTTAATAAAGCTTATACATAATATACTAAAAACATAAATGTATTTAAGGCAGTTTGTATTGAAGTTAAGCTTTTCTTCTTGGTGGATTTTTTTTATATTTGATATTTAAAAATTAAATAAAATTTTAAGAATAGTAGAATAAGTGTTTTTTAGTAAAAATAATAAAAGCTTAAAAATAAAATAAACAAAACATTTTTTATAACTTGAAACTTTGCAAAATAATAATATTTTTTATTATTTTTAAGTTCTTTTTTGTTTTTTTTTACAAAAAATAAGAAAACTAACATACTTTTATTAAAAAATCAATGTTGTTTATTTATATTTTTTTTAATTTTTACTAAGATTAATATTAATAGTAATTATTGCTTTTATATTATTTTATTTTTGATATTAATATCAGACCTTGCTTGTATCTTTATTGATAATTTAAAAGTTATTAGATACATGAAGCTACTATGTACAAAAAGTAATTTTCTATATAAATATTATGATTAAAACTAATATTTACAGTTAAGACTAGATTATTAAACTGCTAATTATATAACTATTGTTCTAAATACAAATAAAAGAAAAATAACATTCAAAAATAAAAGCTCAAACATATTTATCTGTAATTTAAATTTACTAAAATGGTCAAAACTTATCTAAATTTGTAAGTTTAAAATATAATTATAAGAAATATTGTATTTGATTCAAAGAATAATTCAAATGTTGATTTTATAAATAACATAACTAATAGATAGGCAGATATTAGAATTAGAGTATAATTGATCAGATATTCTATATAGATAGAAATAAATATAACTTTTATAATTAGAGTTTCTTTTGTTACTTTAGTTTAATTGAAGTAAAAGTCTGAAATAAAATGTTTTAAGGTTTTGTTGTTGTTTTTAATTAGTGAAATTTATATAATATAGTTTTTATAATTATTTATAAAAAAGTTCATTAACTTTAAGCAGAATAGCAATAATAGTTTGTGAAACTAGTTTATATGAAATATTAAAACTTTATATAGTATTAATTAAAGATTTAGAGATAAATCCTTTAAGTGTAATATCAAAATAATGTAAATTTGGTTAAAAAGTTGTATAGTAGAGAGCATAATGATTACTAATTTTGTGAATGAGTTCTTTTTTTTAGTTTGTAAATAGATTAAGATCTGCATGATTAATATATTAAGATTTGTATTATTAATATATTCAGATATACTAGTTTAAATAATATTAAAAATAAGTAATAAATTTGAACATATATACTAGTAAATTAAAAAGTTAGCTAGGTTAAAATAGAAGTAATTAGCATTATGAAATATATGTAAGTAAATTTTATAAAAATAAAAATAGATAAAAAGTTTATTTAATAGAGTTTTAATTTTAAATAATTAAGATAGTTGAGTTTAAAGTTAGTAATATATAACCAAGTTGATCTTTAATTAATTTGAAAAACTAAAAATTTCTATTTCATATTACATTTTTAAAAGAACTATATTGCTAAAATGTAGACTTTACAAATATTTTTAATAAAGCTTCTAGTTGGATGCTTAATAAAGTATTAGTCTTAAAAGATTATATAATATAAATAATAGATGCTTATATAGTTAAAATATAATATAAGTAATAAATTATGTTGTTTTGCTAATAAATTAGCTAAATTATTAAGAGTGTTATTAGAGTGTACTAATATTTTATAGAAATTAATCTGGTATTTATAAGATTTAATAATATTAAGCAAGATATACTATATAGTTTATAAGCTAAATTTGAAAAGTTTATTAGAATTTAGAAAATTAATATATATTTTAAAATATTTAATAATTATAATTAAAAGTCAAAAAAGAAATTAATTGTTAAGTTACAAAGAGTAGTTAAGATAACTGAAAAAATTGACATTATTTTAGCTTTGTAAAAGGATGGTCAGAAATAGATTTTAGCTAAAAATTTGTGAATAATTTAGTTAAAATTATTAATTTGTATTTATCTAATATCTATTATATATTGCTCTATACTGATATCAATTACTAAGTTATCAGTATAAAAATTAAATATATGTTGAATTGCATTGATAAGTAAGTATTATTTAAGTATATTTGTTTA